TGGCCATATGCTCAGTGCTTTAACAATTCAACCGTCTTCAAAATGTTTGTATTACTTGTGTTTTAAATGACATGAGAATATTCTTTTAACTCTCAATTATTGTAACTTGATACAGCCAGTCCAATATCATTTTGGATCTTGTGAAAAGTCAGTCTTGAACAGGAATACGCTGAACAGAAGTGGGTGTATTTATTACATTTTAATTGGACTTTGGGTTTTACCTCTGTGCATTTCTTATGGTTGTAGTCATGTTTTGCCACACAAGTGTTGATGTTGGAGAAGTTACATTTGAGGAGAGAATAGTGGTGAACTGAGACTGTAACATTTGCAGTAATAAGTGAATAAGTAATCTAAGCTATAGCCCAGAGTAAGCAGGCACCAGGATACAGTGCCACACCACCGTGCCAGTGCAGCGGGTTTATTTTTCCATGGAGGATATTAAGTAAACTAAGATATGTAATAACCACCAGTGAAGAAAAAAAAGCTCACACAGGGGCATTGCTTATGGTGGGATGGCAAAAAAAACAAGCAGCCTTTTCAGGGGACACAGTTCTGCCCTGGACTGTGTCCCAAAGAGCTGAACTTGATCTACAAATCAAAGAAGGCCACTTGTGGCCAGCTTGGTGCATGCGAAAACAAAACAGCCGCAAAGCCCTGCCATCAAAAGTAGATTCACTGCTTCACTCCATCAATGCATTTATTTTATCCCTTCTTTTCTGGTAACATTCAGAAGAAGTTGAACAGTATAATTTATATGAATGTTTGTTACACCTCCACAAAATTCGAAGTCTGCAGAGAGTAAAGGAGGACGAAAACCTTGAATATCTGAGTGAAAATGATTGGACAGGCTCAAACGCAGCATGTAAAATACAGCATATACTCTGTGCTGGTCCCACAAATCGCTTTTTTTCCAACCAATTTATCCCATGATGAATCACGTTATTCCACGTAGGTTGCTGTATTCACCTAGCTTTTTTTTATCGTCACAATTATCTAAAAACATAATACTGTAAACTGCAAAA